GAGAAAATAGCAGAAGATTTTCCACGTTAAAAACGTGCGGATGCTAATTAACATTTTGAAATAAACACCGCTTCATATCTTATAACTACCAAGAAACAAACAATTGTTACTAAGACGGGAGCTTTTCATGGATCGAGGTAAGAATGTTTTCAATCTTCAAATATAACGAAAAAATAATAATAATAAACTCAAACCCAATGGCTTCAGCTAGCTTTCGTATGAATGTGAAAATTTATGCCGATAAGGCGCAAAACACACAATTCGATCTGCAAAATTCTAAATATCATTTTTGGTCTCATCCAATTACTGTTAATTTTTCGTTTAAATATTTTTTCGTTGCTGATTGGCCTAAATCCAAGCGCTATTTCTTCATAACCAGCCTTCTTTGACCAAGTTTGGAAGATTTGTATAGGTAATAGCGTGATTAATAGTGATATTTGGCATAAATACCACGAGTGATATTTCAAAACTGTTATACGTAATTTCACGAGCCTTTAGGCGAGTGAAATTTGAGACAATTTTGAAATATCACGAGTGGTATTTATGCCAAATATCACGTACAAATCATGCTATTGTTTGTTTATACTACTACCCGCAAAAGGTTTGTAATTTTCACATGTAGGTATTTCAAGTTAAGCTAAAATACCACTGCTCTAAGCCAATCAAATTGCTGTAATTTCTCATGTAGTAGTATAATTGCCAAAATCCTTCAACATAAAGCACTCTCACGGATAATTGTTCTGAAAAAGGATAACGGAAGGCGTGGTGCAGTTGTTTTGTTTTGCAAAAAAAAAAAAGAAAAAAAGTGAAACTATTCCTTATGTTATGATGACATCGCAGTCAAGGTAGGCAATTTTTTAGGTGTGAAGTCAAATGGATAATAAAATAACTAGTGGATTCGGCTTTCCTATGATTTCAGTAACTTAATAAATAATTAAGAAACTATTGGAGAGTGTTATTCTCCTCGTCTGAACACCCTCCTGGATCTACATTATTCTTTATATCGTTCTCAGCCTTATTCAATAATTGCTAATTACTATTCTTAATCACCTCTTGCACATTTTCTGATTGCTGTTCTTCTTCTGTTCCATTTGCTTGTTGGTTATTCTGGAAAAAAATGCAACATGTGTTAGGCTCAAGTACATTAAGCGGACACCCTGTCTTAGGCCCAAAATTTCTTCCCACGTTTTGTGTGCAACCGGCCTGTATTAAGCGGGCACTTCTCCCTAGCAGACACTATCGAGGGTGTTTTTATCATGAATACGTCGACTGCCAATAAACCTTTAGGTTTGCTTATACCGGTTGTGATGGTTTCGGCCTTCAATAACTGAAAAGCGAAAATTAGAACATCAAACTCACTAACTACGCGACAGACAAGCAACGCGAACGACTTGGTAAACGCTAAAAGCCATACAAGAGAGAAACCTCTGTTCGCAGGGCAATAACAATATTTCTGATTATTGTTAGTTACCTTTTACATATTTTCTGTTTGCTCTGCTCTTCTTCTTCTCTTGACTTGTAGGTTTTTCTGCAAAAAAAAAAAAAACATTTACACGTGGTTGTTTCCACTTCTTTCCTTTTTCTACTCAGCCTGTAGGTGCTTTTCTTTCCTAATCTTTAAATCGTTTTCTCTTCCAACCGATCTTTAGCCTGCGTAGCAAACGCTTCCGCGCGAGTTCGTCGAGAAAGTTGGGACGAGAGCAAAAAAGGAGAATACTGAAGAAACAATGAGAAATTCCATAGCAGTGGCTCGTAGTTTCAACCTTCGTGTATCATAAAGCTGCCATATCATTTTTGATAGCTTTCTGCAATCGCGTGGCGCATGGTTTAAAGAAAACAAAGTAAATTTTCAAATCTGGTTATCTACTCTGTCTGTTAATCACGTTACTGGCTGCTATGTTGACAAGCTGTACATTTACAAATGAATCAAACCGTCAAATATCAAGGGGCGTTTTCCACAATCGTGGGGTTTGCAGGCAAGCGTTTCCTTTCCCACTCGTCGTCCACCCTTCGATCTTCCATTTCTCTTGCTCTCGCTCTAATTATATTTGTTGGTTCATCACTTATCAAGTAAATTAAAGAGTTGAATATTCAACCAGACCTCCCAATAGCTGAAAAGAAACATATTTGTATTTCGTGGGATTTGAATCTATCAAACATTTACATCGATTTTTAAATGTTTCTACTTAGCTTATACCATGACCTACGCGGATACATACTTGCCAGGTGGATCTAATCTCTACTTTGGGATCGACGCTTAAAATTGACTGTATGATTGCACCTGCGTTGGACATCATTCAGAGGGCAGATTCACCTGCAGAATACGCGTATAACCGACGCATTTGCCTGTAGAAAGAAAACTTCTAACAAGCAAATAGCCCGGTGATACGCATATGCTGCAAATGAATCCATCATATGGGTATGGACGGGAAAAGAGGTATTTTGTGGCAAGCCTTCAAGCAAAAAAGCTCTCACTCAAATACTAGAATTTACTGTCAGCTTACCTTTCCACGTTTCCACGGTCTTCGCCCCGCGGCAAATGCACCCTGATAACTTTGAAATTAGGTGTGGAGTCCCAAAGGCCGATGGCGAGAACACTATTGAAGGGACAGGCTGCTACACAGGTCACGGAACTTTCAAAATCAATTTCGGTTAGACGTTTACCAGATTTGACGTTTAACAGCTGAACCGTTAAATCAAAATCAGAAATAACACATGTGTTGCCACTGATAAACGTACAATGCCATAACTGGAAAAACGAAGGACGTAAAGTATGGAGCGTGTTTCCTGTTTCGGCATCCAACAAAAGCATGCCTTCAATCGTGCCAACAACCAGGAACTGTTCCATAGGTGAGAAAGCCACAGCCTTATCATTAGCGTAGCTGTCAATGATTTCCTTTCTCCAAACAACTGTTTTGCCATCCAAAAGCTGAAGAGAGCAAGAAATTGCTCCCAAAGGCCTTTTTGTTAACAGCTGACATTTACTGTTGCAGGTAAGAACTCTTCCTTGTAAAACTGGGATTGTTGACACAACTTTTCCACTGCTTGTATCTAGGACGTTCACGTCAACCTCTCCTACGACTGCTACTCGTTCCTCTGATATAGGGATCAGATGTTTGACTCCAGGCAGGTTGGTCCACCTTTTGATTCGTTTAGCGAGGTTACCACTCCACAACTCAACAGTGCTTTCTAATTCATTCGGTAAGATTAGGACTCCACCGCTAACAGGACACATGGGATGTTTCCTGTACATGCGTACAGTATACGCCCCGCAGTTTATCTCAGCTCTACGCTTCCCACTCGACACGTCATAAGCAGTGACTGATGTCTTACTTGCAACAAACACGGTCTGACCATCCAAACTGAGTGCTATCCCAGTAGCTGCAGTAACATGGTTAGCTACGCCTTGATCGTTTCTGTTTACATATTTGGTATCCACCATTTCTATTACACTCTGAGAGGAAATTAACAGACGTTGCTTTTCAAGACCAAACGTCAACTGAAACGGATACCTGTCCTCGGCAATAAGATCGCCAAATAAAAACCCACAATCACTAAAAGATTCAAATTTCTTGGAATCATGACACACACCCGTTAAAGAAAATGTGTTGTAGGCCTCCTTTAAAACCTTGAGACAAAAAAAGCGTATGGGAAATGCGACGCCTTTTACAGCGCAACAAAAAATGAATCGATGATCGGGTGAAAACTTTACCACGCCACATACTTTTGGGGTAGCCGTTTGGGTTAGTTTTCTGAAATTACACATCACATCATACAAACTAATCACTCCCGAAGAATGTGAAATTGCAAGAAGCCTTCCATCACCAGACCATGCAAATGATAAAATGTCTTCATTTGCGAGAATTCGATCAACCTCAGAGCCATTTTCTAAATTCCACAAGAAAAGGCATTTAGAATTCTCAAGACAGTTAGTTAGAATCTTGGTCTTGTCGCCTGAAATAGAGCAAACTGAGAATCTACAGTTACTTCTGGGAAAGAGCGGTTTCAAGTCTCCGTCCATAGTATAGGCCTGACCTAGAATTCCAGGTAAAATACATTCCTTTGTAGGGTGAAAAACAACAGAACGAAATAATGAAACATCTTCAGAAGGCGAATTTCTACCAAAACCGACGAACAGGGAAAGCTTGAAACTCTTTTTTACTGCGGCTGGACGTGTCCACACTAGTCTACCAGTATGGAGTGACCACAGCTGCAGCATTCCGTTGTCACATTCACACACCATATAATCCAACTGTGGAGAGACGTCCAAACAGATCACATCAGATGAACAATTAAATTGGGCTAAAACACCTCCCTGTATCGTTTCCTTATGAACAACCTCCATGTATGGTATTTCAGAATACTTTATTCGCAAAAGATTCGCCGCCTCTTCAGTCAACACTTTTCCTCCTTGGTTAAGAATGGTTTGAAGAAAAGTATGAGGGGTATCGGTAAACAAACGGAGGTTTTTTCTTAACAGAAACAACAAGGTGTCCACAATACTTTGAACATCTTTTGATAACAACGCAAAAATCCCCTGCTCTTTAAGCCAAACAAGGTCTTCAGCCGCTATTGTGCTGTTAACGCTGGTCTTGGCATACACGATTTCTAAATCAATAAAGTAGGCTTTTGTCAGGTCGTCGAGCTTATGCGGCTCTCTCGTGACCCCTTCGTGTAGCATGTGATGTGCACCATGATACAAAGCGTACTTCTCAGAGGCGCCAAACTGAAAGTTATCGACTTCTTTAAGCCGCAGATTTTCAAGTTCTTCAATACACAGGCTCGCAAGTAAGCGATGACCCTCGTTCTCATCCATGATGAATTCATGCTCCCCATAACATACATTGTCTGTTAACCAGTCTTTAACTGACTTGTGAATGACGTGAAGACAATCGTCACGGATGGGGAGAAGTGCAGACACACTGCCCAAGGCTCTCAGTACTGTACGTTTTGTTAGTGGTGAATTGGTACTTGATAGTAATACTTTAGAGACAAAACCCATTGGCAGGGGCTCCCTTGAAGAGGTCATAGCAGATAAAAGATTCAGGAAATGTTCTTCCCTTATGTTAAGTTCTTTTATGAGTTCGAGTTCCAAACGTTTGAAATACGAATGATACACAGCAGAAATTCCTGATGGTGAACTGCCGACAAGGTCTCCCTCGTGGAAAATTGATGCATTTTCCGTTATCTCCAATATGAGAAAATGAGCGTACAGCATGAGTCCTTCAGATTTCAACACTAGTTGTTCTATGAACTCACTCACATTCTCTGGTTCGACCACGCGCTGAAGTCTTTTTAGGCATAATACTCTGACGTCTCCTATATTGTCTTCATCATTAGACTCCAGTTTAAGTTGCTTCAAATGTTTTAGTTTCTCTGCAATGTTTAAGGCTGGACGCGTCGTGACGAGAAAACGAATCCAAATAGGAAGCTTACAAAACTGATTAGCAATCACATCAAGAAGCTCATTTCTTCCCTTGTATTCGCTTTCATCCAAACCATCTATCACCATGAGCATGTTTCTTCCAGGGTCACCTACAGAACTAAGAGGTTCCTTAAAAAGCAGTGCAAACAACTCTTCTACACCCATGTTGTTGAGATCTTCGCCCATATTTCTTGATAGCTGTTTCACTAGCACTTGCTTGTATTCTGGCAGGGCATGGGACAAGTGACAGGCAAGAGACTGAATCATCAACTGAGGTTTCGAGAAGCGTACATTTTTGTACTGACAAAAATGGCTTCCTGACAGCCTGGTAGCCTCTTGCATTCTCTTGCAAATCACGGCAGAGATGACAGATTTTCCCATTCCTGCATTTCCACTGATCACCATCACGCGGTTTTGAGAGCTTCTGTCATCCAGCCAGCTTTGGACTCTGTCAAAGACCCACTCACGGGTGCCTTCTTGAAATCGTTCCACGTAATACTCAATGTCTCCTCTGAATTCAGACATGGTGAGACTTCGAAGGACCTCGTCTGACCTGTCCTTGTCTTGTCCGAATCTTAAACTATCCACTCTTTCTTTAATTTCCTTGAGACCTACTTCAACTTCTTTCACGCTCTGACACACTTCATCAACACTTTGTTGTGTCTTGGCCTGCGCCTGACGAACATCTTCAATTGCTTGATGCGTTTTGCTCTGAGACTGATTAATGTTCTTTAACTGTGACTTGATATCCTCTTCACTGTCAGCCCACTCGATCAAGACGTCAATATAATCTTCCTCTCCACCTTTCTCTGCCTTCAACCTATCTACTTCCGCCTGATCAAGACCAAGACTCACAAGAACAGCACTAATTTCAATCCACAGAATTGAGAAAGTTGATGCATCAACACCAGTGGTTGTCACATGACCATACAAGACATTTCGATAAAACTTAACCCGTGCAAGGTTAGCCTCATGAGACATGTCACTTGGGGGTGGTTTAGTGTGCCATCCTAAGTGAGGAGGTGTTAGTCCACAAGTGTTGGTAAGAAGGAGAAACAAAAGAGTGATATCAAAGGTTTTGGAATCTGGTGCGACTCCACCAGGTGGAAACAGTTTGTCCCATTGAGGTTTATGTAAAACCTTTTTCTTCAATAAAATGCTAAGAGTGTACTTGTTAGCATTGAGATCAGCAGCCAAGTTCGTAGGAGGATGATGACCATCAAAAATCTTCCTAAGAACTGTTGTTCCACCATCAATGAGAAGCCTGCTGAGCTTGGCTCCATTTGTCTTCTCGACAGAACTGACCAGCGGTGATATTGCTGCAGTAGCCATGAAAAGATTCACTTCATATTCCTGCAGGGGAAAGAAAAACAATGCAAAATTGTTTCTGTTACTATCCTATTCTGAAGAGAAATTAATATTCATTAAGAGATGTGGCTTAAAAGCAACATTAAACTTTCTACATTTCTCTTGCACTACATTAGCCTATTTTCAAAGTCCTTGCCCTCTTTATGAAAGCGAGTGTTCAGTGCACAACGTTTTACGTAAAGATTTGTCAGACATTGGGGAGTAGATCTCCTTCCCTCTGTTTTCCTCTCATACTGTTCTTAGATTATCTTGCCTGGAACAAGCTACCGTTGCTATCACCCTCAGGAAATGACAAGAAGACTTATGGAGGGGAAATTGCTTTGAGTTAGTCCAATGTTTTCTATAGTTTTAGGCTAACTGTTATCCCTGGAAATACAGGTTTTAGACAGCAAGCAGTAACGTCTGTGTCCATTTTGCCAAACTTTGGGCTTGATGATTGACACAATTTCGGTTCTCATGAGTTACTGTCAGAAATCTCAGTGATGCTGCAGCATTAGTCTGCGAGGTGTTGCAGTAATTTTCACCCGGGCAATTATCTTATCCAAACATCAGGAATTTACTTTTTACTAAATCATTTTATTTACTTAATACAAGTATGCTAGTTATGATTATCTCAAATTAAATCCCCAACTTACCCCCCCTTGCAGACATATACCGTTTGAAAACTTAGGGCAAGGAGATTCCACATCAGGTTGTTTGCAGTTGTTAAACTACTGGACGTGACTGTACGGTTGCATTTTCTTTCTGGAGCGAAATACCACAGGATACCCACGCTATGAGTTTTAAGAAAAACTATATAAAAAATAAAGCACGTGGAGTGTCATGGCGGATGGCAACATGAAGTAGGTTCTGTAATATCGATGTTATGGGTGAAGTCAAGAGGCTTAGACAAGAAAATCTAACGCCGAAAGATCAGATCCAAGCTTTATCCAAAGAGGGCGAAAAATGGCCAAATTCTTCTTCGCAAGACGCACGAATCTAGAGTGATCAAGCTGAGGTCAGTTGAAGACTTGAGCAGGCTAACGAATAGTCTGGAACTTGAGTGAGATTATCTTGCCGAGCTAAGTACCTGATATTATTTCTTATTCTGATAAATCTAGTTAAATCTAGAAGAGATGGCCTCCTGTAAAAAAAAAAAAAATTAAAGGAAAGCTTAACACATTTGCCTTATTATAATTGCAAACATATTCCGTCTGTTCATGGCAGATTTAACAACCTTTTAGGTGACAATTTACATTCAGAGAAAACCCTTGAGATGCTGCATAGTCTTTATGATTACGACATCTTTAACATGAATTCATTTAATGCAAACATTGACCCGGATTTCAACTTTTTAGAACCAAGATTGCGATCCCGATATTTCTCACCTCACAGCTTTGCTGAGACTATTAAAAGTAAAATAAATCAAAATCATTGGAATTTTATCTCTTTTCTTCACAGTAATATAAGAAGCCTTAAGAGAAATTTCGAACAGTTCCATCAGCATGTACTTTCTGAGTTAAAAGTAAGCTTTAGTGTTATAGGTCTAACTGAAATTCGAATCCGTGATGGCGCTTTTAAAGAAAATCTTCCGAGCTTACCAAACTACTATTTTGAGTAAACAAGCATGCCCCAATGAAAACTCTCTCCAAGCGCAGGGGAAAAATACTGTCAAAACCATGGATTACCAAAGGTATTAGAACTTCAATACGAATAAAAAATAACCTTTTTTTAATGCTGATTGGGAATGTTATAAATTATACCGAAACAAAATAGCTAGCCTAACGTGTCAAAGCAAGAAAAATTATTATGAACGTTATTTTGAAGAAAACATTAACAACTCTAAAGAAACGTGGAGAGGTATAAATGATATTATCTCAAGAAAGGCAAAAAGTGATAAAAAGCCAATACACCGCCTTGTTAACTTCAATTCGGAAACGATATACAACCCAAAGGAAATAAGTAATTCTCTTAACACGTTTTTTGCGACTGTTGGACATAAGTTGGCTTCTTGTACCCCTTCCTCGTCGCCAGATCATGATTTTAGTACTTTTTTAGATCCGCCAATACAAAGTTCTTTCTACTTTGACCCTTTTGTCCCTGCAGAAGCCGAAGATGAAATCAAAGTGCTGCCAAATAACAAAGCCTATGGACTCTATTCATGCCCAGTCAGTATTTTGAAATTGTCCAGCCATATTATCTCTCAGCCCTTAGCTCAAATCTTAAATGTTTCAGTATCCTCAGGCTCTTTCCCAGCTAAACTTAAAACAGCCAAAGTAGTTCCAGTTTTAAATCAGGAGATGAATCTAAGCCTGGAAATTATCGACCAATTTCGTTGTTATCAATTTTAAACAGAATATTTGAAAAGCTGGTTTATAAAAGACTTATTAAGTTTGTTAATAAACATAATATATTATATTCATCACAATATGGATTCCGCAGTAGGCATAGTACACAGCACGCAACTCTACATTCTTCCTAATTTTGATAAAGGCCAATTCACTTTTTGTTTATTTATTGACTTGAAAAAGGCTTCCGACAAGGTTAATTATGATATTCTTCTCTCAAAACTAAAAAATTATGGCTTCAGAGGAGTGGTGAATGATTGGTTTAAGTCGTACTTAATTGGGCGTAGACAGCATAAGACTGTAAATGGTTATATTTCTGATTCTCATCGAACCCTTTGTGGAGTACCACAAGGTTCCGTTCTGGGATCCTTGCTTTTTCTCTTGTATATTAATGATCTATATAAATCCTCAAATAAGCTTCAATTTTACTTGTTCGCCGATGATACTAGTTTAGCTTATGCAAACGGAGATCTTAAAAAACTTGAAACTGAGATTAACGAAGAACTTTTTAAAGTATGCTCGTGGCTAGTTGTCAATAAATTAACCTTGAATATCGAAAAAACTAACTATATCATCTTTCGTCCACGCCAAAAGACTATTCCTTTTCATCCTAATATCAAAATAATTAAAATCAAGACCAGCAAAAATCCAACTCAATAAATGACAACTGCTACTAATGGAGAACATGATCTACTAAACTTAACATCCATTTTGTATCCTGAATTTGCTGAGGAACAGACAAAATTTATTGAAGGCAGGAAACCCTAAGAGATGAATAACATCTGTTGCTCCAAAGACTTAATATAACCCATATAAATAGTAAAAGAGCAGCAAATAACATGAATAAAATACCTGAAATTTAAATTTGCACACTTTATTTCATCACTGCACAAATTGGTTGATTTAGAGAAGATCAACAGTTGTAAGAACTTTGCTGGGAAAACGTTTTCAAAATCTGATACCTGAAAATAAAATGTTGAGAATAATGTAAGTTATTTTTATTGTTTATGGTGAAAATACACTCGGTTGTTCAAGCTAGATTAAATTACAAACACTTCACTTAAATGCTGGTAAGCCAAACTTGTCACTACACAAATCAGGGATTTCACTAAGATTTCAAGTTGCCAGGTAAATATGCAACAAGTAGGAGAGGAATCAAATAACTAGGGATTTCTTTTGGTTCTATTTTTCTTCCATTTTCCTATGAAAGTAGCCAGGGACTGGTCGTTCATAGCAGCCGGGGGAAATCCCAATCCCCTGGCTCTTAACGACGTGAGTCGTGCTAATGCTGAAAAAACCACAACTTAGTTACCAAGTCAGTATTCAAATGTAACTGGTTGTTACTTCTTAAACCTTTAGTAACTTTAAGTAACAGTCATTTTGATATATATGTCGATCACTTAATTGTCTTGATTGTGTCACCTGTAACTAGTGACCTGCATTGTAGCCCAGTGTCACCTCACCCCGCCTCAATGGAAAACACAAATTCTACACCAACCCCTAACTGCAGAATGGTAAATCAATCTTACAGGGCTTCCAAAAAAATAAAACAATCCTGACCTAATTAATACTACTGCATGGGAAATTTCTGCAATTTGTTTGGCTTAGAGCAGTGGCATTTCAGCTTTATTTGAAATACCTACACGTGAAAATTACAAACCTTTTACAGGTTAGTAATTTTATACTACTACATGAGAAATTTCTGCAATTTGATTGGCTTAGAGCAGTGGTATTTCAGTTTAATTTGAAATACCTATGTGTGAAAATTACAAACCTTTTGTGGGTAGTAGTATAAACAAATAATAGCATGATTTGTACGTGATATTTGGCATAAATACCACTTGTGATATTTCAAAATTGTCTCAAATTTCACTCGCCTAACGGCTCGTGAAATTTTGTATAACAATTTTGAAATATCACTCGTGATATTTATGCCAAATATCACTACAAATCATGCTATTACCTATACAAATAGTATATAAACAAATAATGGCATGATTTGTTTCAGTGATATTTGGCATCAATACCACTTGTGATTTCAAAATTTTCTCAAATTTCACTTGCCTAACGGCTCGTGAACAATTTCGAAACATCAATCATGGTATTTATATGCCAAATATCACCACAAATAATACTTAAAGGAAGGAAGGAGGGAGCTTATACTGAAAGGGGGAACTTCATAACTTTTCCTTTCAACGAACTGTAATTTTATTTCAGCTAAATCTTTTTAACGTAGAAAAACAAAAGCAAACATTACTGTACACCATTTTCTACATAAATGTTAAGTCAAATATTTGCGGTGAAATGTCTTGTTTAATAAAATTGTGGTTGGTAATCAAGTGTACCGAAGACGTACTACACTTACGCCAATGTACCGGCATGTATGTTTATAAAATATATATATCTTATCTCATCATCCTCATCAATAGTATGGCACATTGTCACATTCCTCTTTTGTATCCCTACCATTTAAGAAAAGGATGGGCTGAGGGAAGGGGGCACTTATTTCAATGGGGCGTGACCTAGGGTGTGGGTGCTTAATTGGGAAGGGTGCTTATTAAAGGGTAGGTGTGTTATTTGAGGAAATATGATATGTACTTGTTTTTGTGTGGCAAACATTGTCCTTTATTATTTTCG